CAGTAGCTTTCTGCCTCTCCCGCTGCAGTATGGAAGCGTGATCATCCCGGGGTCAAGCCCAAGGCACGCGAGCCGCGCCTCTTGACGGCCAACAGCTTCTGCCGCAGCTCTTCATCGAGGTAGCTGGCCTGGGAGCCGCTTGAGGATGTCATGGTGTCGAGTTCGCCGGTGCTCGGGTTGACGCCCTGAACACCGAGGTAATCGCCGCTCTCGCGCAGCTGCCGTCGTTGCTCTTTTCTTCGCTGAGCCTCCGTTATGGGCGCTGGGGGCGATGGGATTCTCGGCAATTCCTTCGCGGTGTTCCAGCTCGTCAACTGGTCTGAACTGTGTGCGATTCTCGGGATGGGCGTCGGCACACGCAGTGTGCCCCCTTTCTCAGGGCGATTGCTCGGGAGAATCCGCCTAACCCTGTCGAACACTGCTGCCATGATGATGATGACGATGATGACAGCAGCGGCGAGATGATTCGCGCCGGTAGCATATTTATAGAGTGAGCAGACTGAACGAGGGCCTATTAGGCGCGTTGTGCGAACCAGGCATGTGACTCGCTGCAGCGATGGCAAGAACGATGGACACCCCATACTGGGCGCCCCCACGACAACATGGGGATACACAAACCAGGAGAAATATTGGGCGCCAGCCCTGGCGGGGGGTGGTTGGTAGCATGTGCAGAACGTAGTGCGTGAGACGCAAAAGCAGAGTGATGGTAGGAATCTTGTGTAATTGACTGAAAGTGATTAACCCCAACGCCGTCCATGCTCTTATGTACCCGCATTTCCACTTCTTTCAACATACATCCTGCGTCCTAACGTGCCCACATCTTGGGATAACGTTCCTGACTGAACCGATTCTTTTGCGTCTGAGCAAATGGGTTGACCGGGGCTTCATCTCCGTCGTTGGACGTTGTCAGTCGCCGGTTGTCTTTAACTGGGCTTGCTCTCCGCTGTTCAAGCGCCGCCATCTCCCTCGAGTTCCTCGGCGACGCATAGTCCGTGCTGAGGTCGTAGAGGCTTGACGCCTTCTTCAAAGGTGATTTGGTGTGTGAGAAGACGCCGAGGTTGCCACCGTACTGCGTTCCTGTGGTCGTCGAGGCGCTGGGAGTGGCGGCCGCGGAGACGCCTGCTGGCAGGCTCTGTCGGGAAGGAGACCGTGTGCTTGGTACGGGCGTAAATGACCCAGAGCGTCTTGCTTGACTCGATGGGGTGAAAAGCCGTGAGGCCACGGCGCTGTGTTGGACATTGCGATGAGGTCGAGCAGGCGTGTGCTCAGGATCAACGTGGCGCATGTAGTTCGGGTTCGGGTGGGTCTGAAACTCTTTCTTGATAACGGTTGTCGGCGTGCCCAGTTCGACAAAGTCGCCTTCGCCATCCTCCTCGTCTTCTTCCTCAAATGAGGCTTGCGTGCCCACGTCGCGAACCAAAGGATGAAGACGAGGGTGAACAAATTTCGTGTCGTATTCGTGGAGGACCTCCTTGTGAATGATGGCCGTATCCTTGATTTGTTGAGAGAAGCGCGACTGGAGAAGCAGCATCTGCACGCTGAGAATGACTTGCAATGTCAAACAATTGAAGACGGTGACGCTCGGTCTGGGGTCGAGGTTTTCGAGCGGCAGGAACAACATGTAGACGAGGACGTGGCCGGGGCTGAACAGAGAGAAGAGCTGCAGAGAAACGGGAAGAGGATCCCATACGGCCAGTTCCCACACATCTCTCGTCTTATCCGGGTGCGCCCTCGATTCAGCTGTTTCGGGAACTATCAAGTTGGACAGGAAGCGGAGAGGCGACGAAGCAACTGGCGAAGACTGAACCTTGACACGGTGGGCGGAAGGAGTCTGAGGCGCTTGCTCGACGTTGACCTCGAAGAGTCGATAGTGTCTTGAACGTGTCATTGTGTAGAAGGCGTTGGCGCCCGATAAGAGAATAAGGATCCAAGAGAGGGGTCGGATCTGTTCAAAGTCAGTCTAAGTTTCTTGAAGGAACGGAGACGTTCAGAGCGTACCATATAGTTGGTCAAACGACTGCTGACCCCATCGCTGAACACATCATCATGAGCCTCAGACGCCGCGCAGTTAGCTCGAGCGATGAGGAAGATGAAATTGAAGGCAAGCCGAGTTTCGTGCCCAGCGCCTTGAGTCCCAGTCCCTTGTCTCGAGCTCCTCGGAAACCCACAGAGGAAGTCCATGGGGTTGAGCATCCGCCTTTGACCCGTTCGCCCAAGGCTTGCGCCTGACCATGCGCGGCATCTTTCGTCCTTTTCAATACAAAATATGCTTCACATGGACCGTATCGAACGAGATACCGATTCAAGTATCCGTCCGTGGATGAAGCGGGACGGAGGCGAGGCTGACTGGTTCCGAGGTGTAGAACGGACGTTTTGTTTACACAGGGAGCTTCAATTTCTTTGTCCCGCCCAAGGTGCAGCCTGGGGTGACGTCCAGGTGGAGCCAGCAGCCAAAAGGCACCACACCCACGCAGTGTGGGGTGCCAGGGGATGCTGCCTGGGCTTATGGGCGGTCAAAGCTCTCATCCGCTGACTGTCGCTGTCCAGCCCACCACTGGGCGACGAGTCCGTCTAGTCTGTCTGCTCTTGTTCCTGGCACTTGACGTTGGACGACAACGCCGACCACCACCTACGACTTCGCTCGGTCTCGTACCAACGAGCAACCCCTCAATATGGCGTCGCAAGCCGATTACAAAGACAGGCAATTCCTAGCTGTCATTGGCGACGAGGTACGAATTGCGCTCAAGCACCAGTCTTTCTGTGCTGTCCACTGACCCAATACTTAGGACTCTGTCACGGGCCTTCTCCTCGCAGGCATCGGGGTACGTTTTGCTGTAACCCCTCCCTCGGAGTCGACGTGCGCATATCTAACTGGGCATTCCAGCACGTCAACACTGGTGCAGATCAGGCGAAGAACTTCCTTGTTGTTGACAGCAAGACGGAGACCTCTGCAATTGAGAAGGCTTTCGAAAGCTTCACAACTGAGCGAAAGGATATTGGTATCATTTTGATCAATCAGCATGTGCGTAGATGAGATGGCTGCAACGCAATAACGCTATCAAGGCGCTGACCTCTGTATAGATTGCCGACAAGATTAGGCATCGGATTGACACGTACACAGCGGCCTTCCCTACGGTGCTCGAAATCCCCAGCAAAGACCACCCCTACGATCCCGAAAAGGACAGCGTGCTGAGGAGGGTTAGGAGGCTGTTTGGCGAGTGAATCACGCATACACGGGATGGCGTCACGGCTAGAGGAGCGAAGCACATACAAGCCGGCGTCATGCTTGACGAAGCAGAGGCTCGGTGGGGGTCACAACGACTTCTTGAGGCTTTGAGCAGTGGCTGTTGATGCCAAGTACAATTTACCTATCCTATGAATGCCTAAGAGCGCCAGCTTTGCTACGTTAAGAGTGCCCGTGCTCGGACTTCGTCAATGCTACAAAAAACGACAAAACGACGTTCGCGACCTGATTTATGTGCAAAAGAGGTTTACAACATGTGCTGCCCCGCTCAGCCAACTAATCACTCGAATCCGAGCTCGAATCATTGCCAGTCGACCCTCACAGCTCAAATCCAAGGAGGCTTCCACGAGAGAAGGCAACGGAGGCCGTCAAGCAAGTAATGGGCTCGTCATCCTTGGTGTAAAGATCGGCGAAGACAGTGTACTTTCCCTGCGGCAGGTGTCAGTGGTATGTCCGCGCTGTTGAAGCGGATGATACTTACAGGAGGAATCTCAGCAGGCAGCTTGACAGTCTTTGTGAGGGCCAGGTCGCCCTTCTTGATGGGGCACTCCAGGTCGACCTCGCCAACCTGCTCACAGAAGTCCGCCTTGGTGCTGATAAGGCGAATGAGGCCGTACTTGACCTGAAGCAGAACGTAGGCTCCTTCCTCAATATCTTCGTCAACTGTTCCGCTGGCTGTGATTATAAGGTCCTCGCCACTGTCCACCCTTGGTTAGCACCCGTCGATAATGAGGAATGCCTCGCGAGGCTGAGTAGCAAACGTACGCTTTGGGAGGGTTGGGCGAGAGGTCGACCTTCTTGATGTGAACGATATCCTTCCCGTGGTCCTTATCGCACAGCTCGAGTGGTGAGTCGCCAGGAATCTTCCGATCATCGCCAGTAATGATGCTCTGGTCCCTCTCAACGAGGACGGACCTGGCCGATGCCGGGACAAGGCCAACAGAGAGGACAGCGAGTATAGCGGAAGTGAAACGCATGGCGTAGATTTCGAGCCCGTAGGTTTCTGAGTATTCGGTGATTGTTTCTACTTCGTACAGCCTCGTGAAGTCGTTTGGTTTGGGCGTTCGTCAATATCGTAAGAATGTTGTTGAGTTGGAGACTGCTGACGACTGAAGAGGTACCTCGCACAACTCAGCCGGTGGTTGGGTGCGGAGGCGGAGGCCCAGTGGCACGGGCGAGGGAGGCTGTAAGTTGGTTGGCTTGCAAGGAAGACCTGGCCCGGGTGTCAGGCAGTGAGCACGTCATGGGGCGACCAAGTGGTCGATGATTCGTTGCACCGCCACCTAGGTGCCTTTAGCCAGCGCACCAGGAAGCCCCACGTGATGCTATCTAAACGGCCTTGACTATCACGCCCACTTTCTTATCTTCCCCTTGCCTCCCCGTTGCCGGATGCATCACATTCGCCAGTCCGCCTCAGACAATGCAGTGCTTCTCCTGCGACCCTGGCTACATGTACTTGCCATTTCCACTCCACAGCCCAGCCTTGCGCGTTTGACCAAGACAATTCCTCCCAGCATTTTCATGTCTCGCCGTTTACGGCATCAACGATGATCTATGTTATAGATTGAAACTATTCTCGGAATATTCGAGCAAGGTTCCACGAGTATCCTTGATTGAAGAAAGCGGACTGCCGGAGCTCGCCCTGGAGTCGTCAAGTACCGTGGCGATCATGTTGCTTTCTGTCCCGACAGGGCGCTTAAACATGGCTGGCGCGACAAAAGTCTATCATGAAACTCTGTTCAACCCTCAAAGCCGCCTTGAGACTTTGTATGATGTGCACTTCAAGGCACCACAGCCCGACTGTGTTCAGCCATGCCGCTATCATGTAGTTCCTACATGCTCCAACAAAGGTATGACAAGCCATCCGGTAACACACAGATGGATGCCCACGTCAGCCATGTCGGTGCCGACGGATAGAAGTTGGACGTCGGAAGCGACTGTGTGTACCAGTCAACAGATGCATCTTGCGCCCTCCAATGCTGGCGAGGCACAGTTAATCACGAAGTACTGGCAATTCGTGGGCGGACTGTTTCATTTGTTCGGGTTGCCTCGTTCAACTTCAAAGTCCTCACTGCAGACCGTCACCTCCGATGAGCCATTCCCCTGCTGGAGCAGCCCAGGAACTGGAATACGACCTGATCTACGTAAACAGCGTCGGTGCCTGGGTCAAAGGTCAAAGACGGCGATCTCGTGCAGACAGCCACTGACCAGTGCCCGCCAGGCAGGGATTTGTAAGAATTCAATGCCAGTCTAGTAGTACAGACCAATAAGACCACATCCTATCTCGAAACCGTGGAGCAGACTAAAAAGTACCGCGACTTGGGCAGCCTCTAGCCTGATGACTCGAAATTGGTGTTGCATCGCTTGGTGGCAGTAAGTAGCGGTACTTGGACGACTAATGACCCAATCATATGAGAGGCCATGCTTTTAGCTTCTCGAGGTTGACCACTCACCGAGTCCTGTACACCTGCGAGGGACCCCTCCTAACCCTGCACCTCTGCCGCAAGTCGCCAGGTTTTTGGCTGATGCTGGTTTCTACGGCAGACCGCTGTTGTTGATAAATCCTGCATGAATTCATGCCCTCCATTCCCGCTCCTCCCCTCCCAAGTCCAGCCTCTCAAAGCCCTTTCGGTCTTTGCCCTCGCGCGCATCGCTTACACAACAGTCACCAACTTCCTTTTCCCCCTCCGTTTGCCATCGTCTCATACAATGTATATCACCTGGATCTTATGGTCACTTCAGACCTGGCATGCCACGCAGCATGTTGCAGCAACAGCAACAGCAACAGCGAGGAGAAGTCCGGCGTTGACCTCCCTCTCCCAATTCTCTTCCTTTTGATCCTGGAGCCCTTCTTCCACATCACGACACCAGAGAAAGCTCAGATGCCGCCCAGCATTCTTACTTCGAGGCCCTCATCTGGGGGAGCAAATTTCGTGTCAGGTCGGCTCCCATGACTTGGGTCCAGTTCCCCGTTCTCGAATCCCACCCTCTCTGCTTGCAGCCTGAAACGTCGGCCTGAGGCCCGTCAACAGCCATGTCAGTGCTGCTCTGATTGGTGCGAGCCCGCCACCAAATCAGCGAGGCCACCGCTTTTTCGGGCTAGCTCCTCACGCTTCTCGAGGTACAGGTACCATGTCCCTCCTTTCTCCAGTTTTATCGTCCATTCATCTCCGGGCACGCCTGGTCTGCCTTTCCTAGCGGAAGGCGGAAAGCGGACAGGGAGAAGGAGGATGGATGGAGGGAGGGAGGGGTAGCAGCTCGCACCCCCAATTGGCCCCGGGGCGCTTACCTGGGTGCTTCCCCGGTGCTTGCTGCCTTTGCTCATCCCTCCAGTTGTCCTGCCTTGCGCGCTGCTTTGCTGCACACTAGGATGCTCCTGCTGCCGCGGCGCTGCACCCGCCAGTGCTGGGCTCTGCTCCCGTTCCAGCGCAGACCCCCTACCTCCAGATACCTACCGTCTGGTCGAGGTAATCACTGGGTCTTTTCGCTTGCCGTCTCGCTCTTGTGCCTCCCTACTCCTAGGCCTGAGCCCAAGCCAACCCGCCTACCTACCAGCTGCTCAGGTCTTTCTCGCCCACGCTCCACGCCAGACACCCACACGCCCCCCCCCAAATCCATTGCTCGGTGCGCTCGCCCAGTCTCCTGCCCCATCCATTCTTTCTCTTCGTGTTGTCCCCTCTCCTCCTCTCTCCAATCTCTTTCCCACCCATCCTCCCCCCTTCGACCACGACGCCGTCTACCAACCCGCGTTGCCTCTTCCCGACGAACCTCGAACCCAGTCTCCGGATCGGCTTCCAGCATCTGGACTTGACCATTCGACCAAGTCTTGCCGTCTTTGTTTCCCAGGCGCATGTACTCGACGTAATTCGTGATCGCCCCTCTCGCGGTTCCCCGTTCTCGTCGTGTCTTCGACGACTGTCCTTTTCGCGACCACGAAGAATTTTCCACAATAAATCCTCGCCCAGAACGTGTCACTTGCGAATCCGACACTCCGCGATCACCACCTACATCTGCGACTCGTCTCTCGACCTGATCTCAGTTGCCCGTTACCTTTCATCCCCTCCCCGTTGCTGTGAGCGCCGGTTCCGACCACGTCTACCTCTTCCGAGCGAGCAGTTCGCAATCTCTGGCCACAATTGTCGAGAGCCTCGTGGTAGCTGCCGAATGAGCGCCGCGTCTGGTGTCGTTGCTCCGAAACAACAGCTCGGTTACCCATTCACGCGCGTCTGGGCAAGCGTCGTCATGCTCCCCAGACCGCAACAGTAACCAGCTTCGTCCATAACCCTCCCGACCACAATTATACCAACGCGAGGCCCTCCTTAGAGTATGACCGAAAACCCGCAACCGTTGCCGACGCAGATTGCGATTCCTAGTCAGGCACATGTCGCTCCTCCAGCCATCCCCGTTCCTCAACCCCCTCCGGCGCGCAAGGTTGAGGCCGTTGAGGAGGAGCCGTACACGATCAAGTGCATCTGCAACTTTTCTGATGATGATGGAAACACGATATACTGCGGAA